TAGAAACTTATACTATTCGTAACATTACTGCATATGGCAAGATAACTCACCTACAGTTGTTTACATGATCGGGCGTGGGAGGATAATATTTTTCTCTTTTATGTAATTTAATATTCCGGCGACATAAGTAGAACGAGGGAGTACGAAATATCTAATAAAAATATCTGCTTAAGTATCTCGAGTAACAAATAAATTTAAAATAAAAAATAATAAGATTATTACCTTCATTTCCAAGAGGCACGTAATATCTGCTATCTTCTTCCTCTGTTACCTCCTGTGTTATTTCCTCCTCCTCCTCCTCCTCCTCCTCTCCATCACCGCCGTTGTCATTGACGTTGATATTCTCGTTGGAGATAACTTCCACGTTATAGGCAGCATATATTATCGTCGGTGTCATCATTATCAGCATCATCATCATCATCATCATCATCATCATCATTATCTTCAATATCGATAATGTTATCCTCCTCTTCTTCCAGTATCAATTCCTCTTCAGTTTCCTGAGCTAAAAAGTAATTTTTATTATTATTTTTTTTTGAACTCTGTATATAGCTAACTCTCTCTATATTCATCTAATTTATTTTTTTTAAACTTACACGTTATGAAAATTGTGAAACCCGGTGACACCAGTGCTCTGGAATCGGCTGGACTCACACCGTCATCCCCATCAATGTTATCGTCATCAACGTCATTATCATCATCATCTAAAACAAAATTGATTTTATTCTTTATCGCATATATTACATCTATATTATACGAACTAGATTTCTCAGGTATTTGCGAAATACCTACCGATTACAATGACGGGGACGTCATGCGGAACATTGTTTTCCTCTTCGATTCGTGCTCTTCCTAGAAAAAAATAAAATATTTTAATATTCGGGATTTCTATAATCGATTAGTTAATATTTATTTCTCTAAAACTTACTCGCTGGCACTCTCTCCTCTTCTTCTCCCGCAGGGCGACGTCTCCTTAAAGCGAGTCGTCCTACTGGCCGACCCTTGCGATGCGGTATCGCATGCCCCACAATACTGCCGGCTTCTATGAAATAAATATTATAATTAAATTATAATATTTATTAATTATAAAGTCAGAGAAAAGGAGTTCCCGCTCTCCTCCAATCTCCATGCCCGGATAGAATGTTAGTACCTACTTTTTGGGACCAACTCGTTCCTCAAAGAGAAGGACGGAGAAAGATGTTTCTCCGTCCTTTGTTCCCCCGCTACGAAGGACAACAGATCGGATTGGCAGGATATTAAACAAACACAATATCCGAACTATCTTTGAACCACTCAAAAAGATAGGACAAATCTTAAAAAATCCTAAAGATCAAAGACCTCCACTCAGCTCCGCAGGAGTATACAAAATACCTTGTTCTTGCGGGCAAGTATACGAGTACATTGGAGAAACCGGGAGAATGGTCATCCTATGGATAAAAGAACACCAACGTGATGTCAAGCTAAAACATGTCACGCAGTCAGCATTATCAGAACACAACATCGAAACAGGGCATCAAATACTATTTGATAAAACTACCACAATAGTCAACATTACTTCATACTTTCCAAGAAAGTATAGAGAAGTCATAGAGATACAAAAACATTCTAACAATCTAAATATAGATAATGGCTACAACATAAATAAAATATGGAAAACCATATTCTCCCGGTTATTGAAGACTGACCAATTCCCCCTCCCCCCCTCTCTCCTCCTCACCCACAATTATCTTTTTCCCCCCACCATTCCAACAAGTAGCGTATAAAAAGGAACGGCCCGGAGGAGCTCAGTATCAGGCTGCTTTTCACCCTGATGAAGTGGACTGCAAGGTTCACGAAACGTTGGCATTTTAAGAATGAATCTGGACACGGAGGAAACCCGCGAAACGTATAACTTTTATATAGAAAGCACCCGTGGAAGTTTCAAAAATCCTTTTTGTTAGATTTTGACCCCCCCTAAATATAATAAAATTATTAAAAAGTTCATGACATTGGGGAACATCTCGAAAATTCAGTAAGAATATAAAAATACCATGTTCGTGTTCAATTTTCAAGGTGTTCTTAAAATATTATAAACTTTTTAATAATTTTATCGTATCCAGGAGGTCAAAATCTACAAAAACCATTATTCTTTATTTATACCTTTTTTAGGCAGAAATCGGTTATTTTTTAACATTCTTCTTTATATTTACAAAAACTACTTTAAAATTACTTCGAAAACCACGAAATTTTGATTAAAAATTATTTCAAGCGGTTATGTAGTTTTTAAAGTGATTTTTGAAAATATGTACTTTTTGAAAAGTCATAAAATTATTTTAAAAAAAGTGTAACATAGAATATAACATCGAAAATAATTAAAATTTTATAAAGAAAGTATTGTAATTTTATAAGACGCAGTTATCAATTTTGTAGTAAGATGCTTACTTTTCTTTTTTCAAATTAGTCATCCGCATTATTGCACAAATATATTCGAGTGATGATAATCAATATGATATTCGGATATGATGATACCATAAGAACGTATTCGTTCCTTTGTGTATCAGGAAACTGCACGTCTTTCTGTGTGCAAATTAACAGTGTGCGCAACTTTCATGTATGCAACTGAACAGTGCGCCACTTTCATGTGTGCAATTGAACAGTGAGCAACTTTTGTGTGGGCAACTGAACGGTGCGCAACTTTCGTGTGTGCAACTAAACGGCGTACAAATAAACTGTGCCTAATTGTATGCAACTGATCTTTGTACAAATGAACTGTGCGCATCTTTATGTGGGCGTCTAAACGTTGCGCATTTTTGCGTGCGCATCTGAACTGTGCGCAAATGAACGGTATGCAATTGAACCGTGCGCATTATTATGTGTTCAATTGTAACGTGTACATTTGCAACATGCACAAATGTGTTCAATTGCAACTTTGCGCATGTAAACCATTCCCGGTGTATGGGATAGGATTCAAAAGGTAAAAAGATTTGGGATTGTAAATGATTGCAAGGATAGGAAGGGGAATAAGAAAGAAGAGGATATAGTGAAGGGAAATAGGGGAAAGCATCTAAGGGGGACATCGAGGGGGAGGGGTGTATAAGGAATGAAAGATGTCTCTAGATGGGGTATGAAACAGTCTCCTATTTGAGGCAGAAAGAAGGGAATTGTGTATATCTCAAAGATCAAATTCCGGGAGCGAGAATAAACCTGTGCACGGCCCCTGGTTCGCTGATCCGGTGTGACATTGTTCCCGCTACTTTTAAGAGTATCATTATTAGAATTTGCTCTTCCCTGATGAAAATAAAACGTAAAACAAGTGTCAATAAAATTGGAGATAAAGGGAGTATAAGGAGGAAGTAATAGAAACGTAAATAAAACCCTTAAAAAACAAAAATTGGAACGTAAAAAACGCATCAACTAAACGTTAAAGAAACATAAATAAAATATAAATAAGTTCTTCGGCAAGCACAAACAAAATGTTCGTTGAATGTAAACGGAGCATGATTAAGCAGTCTAGAGAACGTAAACGGAGCATCGTCGAGTTCTTAGACGAACGTGAATGAAATGTAATCGAGGTACTTAGTAAGCAAATGACATTTTAAAATATATTTCATTTATTTGGTAAATATCTAAAAAAAAAGTGCTATGCATTCTTTTTAAAACCCTAGTTAACTTTAAAAAATTATTTCATTAGAACACAACTAAAAAACTTTCAATGCTATGTCTTTTATCTTAGTCTGTGTGATTTTTTAAAGAGGTTAGTTTTTCGAGAGGTTAGTTCTCGCTAAGTTCCTCTGCTGACGGTGCCGCGTACTACTCAACAACGCTTCGTTTACGTTCGCAGTACAGCTTAATGATGCTCCGTTTTAAAATAAATTTTTTTATCTCTATATCCTGGAAACGTAGACGAAGTACTAATAAATGAAGTGTTTAGGAAATGTATCAGTATGCTCCATGCATTCTTTGCAGTGTCGAAGAGCGTATGAGAAACGTTAATGAAAAAAAAACTTTTAATTTTAACGTGTGGGAAATGTGACAGATGTGTTTTGGGCACACTTTATGGAGCGTTTGGGGAGAGTTCGTGGAGCATGTATGAATATTCAAAACCACTAAGAGTTAATGGAAAGTCATTGAAGTGTTTAAGAAACGTTAAAATTCTTTGTTCACACTTTTTTGACGCTTCGACAAGTTTTACATTTTTATCAGGATGCTCGAGAAAAGGACCGAGTTACTGAAACATAGAAACGGGAAGAAAAAGAGGGAAGGGATTCATTATCTGGCAAACAATTAAGCAGAATACATGGATTATTGTCAAAAAAGAATGCGTGAATTCTAGCTCTAAAATCGAGAGCATAAACGGAGGAAGAAGAGCGATGGAGGAGGAATGGGAAGTTGTTAGAGAATGACAGGTTAGGAGGATGGGATGAAATATCCGATGATTCAGAATATCCCAGCCTGGCACAGACTTTCAAGTAGGAGACATTCTCAATCACTGCCATAGCGTAAATTTGTTTTTATTTGATGTAGGGGAAACCGGGGCTAATAGACTTATTTTCCAGTTTCAAATTTTTACAGACGAAATTAAGAGACTTATCGAAAAGATGAGTTCTACACTAGTTACTATATACATTTGATTACTTAATAATATTTTAGTAATAAGGGGAAACTGACAACTAATATGAAAATAAAATGCATTTTTCTAATGCATTCCATCTGATTCAACTAACTCCAGGACCGGGATAATTTGACTAAGATTATTAAAATAAAGAAAAAACGTTCTATGTTAAGAGGAAGTCACAACTGTAATTTAAAAATCTTTGAAATTTCTGATGAGGATTCAATCAAGAAGCCGAAACATGTGAAGAGAATAGGTTTGAACATCTAAATTTATGTAATTATTATTGAAGTATATAAATAATTTTACGCATCAAATTGCGGTTAGCTCTTTAATACCCTGTAACTCATATCATTGTAATAGTCATTATTTAGAGCCCATTATTATTGTACTAATATTTTAATGTATTGAGTCTTTTGCCCGGAATGTCCGGCGATCGAAAAAAGTGAACAACATGAGGGACAAGGGGAGTGCCATACTTAATCGATGAAATGCTAGAAGGATTCTGCCGAAGAGGGGAGGAAACACGAATTTAATTACTGAATCATCAGTGGTTTCATTATGCGCATGTCTTTTAAAAGATTGTTTACGATTATCGTTTGGTCTAATGACATTTATCCGCGGTATTCATTTTTTCCGAAAGGCAAAGGGACCTCTCTGGTAGAAAGAGCTATTAATTAAAAAAGCAAATCTATTACCTGACGCGTTCAAAGAGATTACAGTCATAGCGACGCTCATCGTTTGAGTCGAAAGATTCGAAAATACAAAAGTTAGCGATGCCATCATGACTGCTCGAGACGGTCGTTGCACGCTTTTGAATTATTATGCACTGGCGAGCGAGGGCGAGAATAAGGAGAAGTCCTTTTTCTTTGCTGAATACCATACTCAAATAATTGAATCTGATTCGCGGAAACGTCGCTACTCAC